CTATCCCCCAATGGAGCATAGGCCCTCAACCAACTCACGCCAAGTCGTTCTATCCTTCGCCATTGCATAGAGCTCTCCCCATGTCCTCCCAGTCTTTCTAACCTCATTCTCCAGCTCTCTTCTCCATGTGTTTTTTGGCCTTCCTTTATTCCTATGCCCCTGTGGGTTCCAATGCAAAGACATTCTAGTTATGCTGTTCTCCTGTTTTCTCAGTGTGTGCCCTATCCAACGCCAGCGTCTTTTCCTCACCTCCTGATCCACTGGAGCCTGTTTAGTTCTCTCCCAAAGTTCTACATTAGTTATTCTATCATACCATTTTATTCCCTCTATTCTGCGCAGGCACCAGTTAATGAATATCTGTAATTTATTAGTAATTGCCTTGGTTGTTCTCCATGTTTCCGCCCCATACAATAGTACTGATTTGACATTAGAATTAAAATTTTTTAGTTTAGTATTTCTTTTAATTTCTTTTGACCTCCACAAATTTCCTAGTGCTATGAAAGCCCCTCTTGCCTTTTGTATTCTTATTTTAATATCTCCATCAGTTCCTCTATCTTTATCTACATTACTGCCTAAATAAGTGTACGACTCCACGTCTTGGAGTGGGGTGCCCTTAAGAGAAACCACATTACTATTTGCCTGATTTATTCTCATTATCTTTGTCTTTCCTTTATGGATTTTCAGACCAAGCTGATGTGATCTCGCATTAAGTATATTTAATTTATCTTGTATCTGATTCCGTGAATGGGACAGAAGAGCAATATCATCAGCGAAGTCCAGATCATCAAGCTGTTTTGTAGGGGTCCACTGAATTCCATTCCTGGTGTTAGCAGTTACTGTTTTCATAATCCAGTCTATAGCCAGTAAAAATAAGAGAGGCGACAAAAGACATCCCTGTCGCACACCTGTTTTTATTTCAAATGCATCTGTTAGCTTTCCCTCATGAAGAACTCGACATTTCATGTCTTTATATGTTGCCTTTACTAAGTTGATAATTTTCTGTGGGATTCCATAGTGCCCCATCAATTTCTAGAGAGATTCCCTATCAATGCTGTCACATGCTTTTTTCATAGTCTATAAATCCAATGTAAAGTGGTGAGTTCAGTTCAATAAAACAGCGTAAACAAACATCTAGTTTTCATCTGGCTTTTTTTGCGATATGTAAAAGAAACAAACATAGACACCGATTGAAAACAAACAGTCAACATGCTTACAGTTAGTTCATGGAATAACGGGAACTTTTCAAACCACCAGATTGCATGCGTTTCGTAGGCATTTCATTCTCAGTTTGTCATCTCTAGCATTAGCCTCCTCAACATTAGATGAACAGTTTTTCGTTCTATGCGGGATAGGCTATCAACATAAGCAGCACAGATCGCTGCACATGTAAATTGATTTCCAGACAATCTCCATGCATGTGTCAGTTACTTTACATTCTATTTTTAGGGGTGCACAGAATATTAGCAAAACAAGGTCAAACAAATTCGCCGCATTAAGAAAACATCAGCAACTGTTTATTATGAAATAATAAGGACGTTGGAAACCTGAGACCACATACAAAAAAAAAAAAATTCGCCTTGATCCGTACAGTTTTTCCCCCCTCCGAGATATTTGTTAAAGTGTGATGACACTACTGTTAAAACTGTTTCTTCAAACAGACTATGAACTGAGACATTTGAAGCCAAAATATTATTTAACTACTGCCAGGTTTGATAAAGTTTTTTTCAAGCACGTGAATATTACGAATGACAAGGTCACCTTTCCTCCAGTTTTGCGGGCACCTATATGCCCTAGCTACTACAAGGTGAACCAGAAATAAGCCGCCATACTTTTTTCACCCTGGCTGGTTGAATACAATCTCTTGTAAACTTTTCTTCTTCCAAGTCTTCTTATCTTAGACTATTCATATGTGTACAGGTAATTGGTGGGGCACATTCTTTGGACTCACTATCGTGGCACGCTGAGATTGGCTGTGCGTCAGATTAAAATGGACATCGTGGCATTTAGCTACAGCATGAGTGTTCCCTGTACCTTTTGTTCCCTCTTCCTCCTTCTGATTTACCTTCTCTTCATTCTCATTTCGTTCCCCCGTTTTCTCCTCATTCTCCTCCCCAACTTTCTCTTCCTCCTGGTCTCCTTCTCTTCCTGTTCATTATCATCATCATCATCATCTTCTTTTTTCTTCTACTGCTGCTGCTGCTACTACTACTACTGCTACTACTACTACTACTACTATTACTGCTGCTGCTGCTGCTAGTAGTAGTAGTAGTAGTAGCAGCAGCAACAGCAGCAGCATTAGTAGTAGTAGTAGTTTTTATCCTCCTTCTCTTTCTTCTTTCCTCGTCTTCTTTTCTTCTTTACAACTTTCAAATCCCAGTAGAGCACAGAAGAAAAGAAAGAGGGAAAAGAGGAAGAAGAAATTGAGACTAGAATATGTCGAGCTTATTTGAATGTACTGCCGTGTAGGGTTAATATTCTAGTGCAGTATTATTTGTTTTACTCCCCCCCCCTCCCCCCCCTGTTTTCCCCCCAACCTTTTTCCCCCACACCGGAAGCACTCCCATTGCCAACAGATCAATTATACAAAAACAAAAGGCACCACCAGTATAGAAAATAACCATATGATTCAAGTCTCCGTAATTGGCTAATAATATACCCAAACAGTGTAATCGAAATGTTACAATGTGGTAAACATTGATGGCAATTCCTTTCAATGAGTTGAGGTATCTTTCCATTATCCACAGGCGTGGTTCTTGATAGCGTGTTTGAGTCGAATCGTTACTTTAAATCGGTTTGTTTCCTCCAGATATATTACTTACACCTACTAGTCAACCTGCCAATCAACCACGAACCAACCAACCAGCCAGCAAACAACCTAACCAAATCTTTAACCAGCCGACCAAGCAGCAAGCTTACCGATCGACCAGCTAGTCAGCTAACTCAGCGGTTCTCAACTGGGTGCCGTGGCACCCATAGTGCCACGAGCGTATGCCAGGGGTGCCTCGGCAATAATCAAGAATTTGTCAAAATCTGCTTGAGATCAACCAAGACAGCAATTTAAAACAAATGCAAAGAAGGAAGCCAAGAAGAGTTCTAGATGCAGGTGTACTCAGAAAACAATGCTATTGGCAAGGCTGTAGTGCATTCTCAACGCACGCTTACATTAAAAAACAGATACAGGAACAACTTTCAAGTGATTTAAGTTTACAATTTACTAAACTTCGCATAAACATGAAGAAAAAAATGAAAAATTTATCCAAATAGTTTCATTCATCGCATTAAAGGCAACTGAACAATAAATTTGCACTGTCCCCCCCCCCCCCCCCCCATCGCTTTTTTTTTTTCTTTTCTTTTCCTAAGTATTCAAACCGCTTTAAGGGTAGGTGGGCCGAAAAAAAAAAAAAAACATAATTTGCTTGACAAGGGTGCCGATGTAAAAAAAAAAGGTTTGAGAACCACTGAGCTAACTAACTAATCAGCCAACCAGACAGCCAACCAATCCATGACCCTTTTCCAGGAAGTGATGTTGTGTAAAACCCGATTGAAGGCTGAACATTGTCCTGGTATTTTGTCACAAAGATAAAGCTTCATTACTTGCTGTTAATCACATTAAGTCACAAGTGTGTTGTGATTCTTCACAGGCGTTACCAGTATAGTTTGTGTGTAATAGAGCTGTATTTTTGTGTGTGCACGCATGCAGTTGTGCAATGGCGGACATGGTCACTCTTATGTGCACTAAAATACAACACGGGCGCGAAAAGTCCACAGTGCTGAGTGAATGAACATAATCACGCAGTGCCGATTCACTGTATGATGATCCCGCCGTCTCAACTGGACATAGCAGCAGTGGGCATCGACTGAAGCCCAGGGCGCTGCTGTTTTGCCGACTGGCTCGTTATATTGAACTGTGCTGGTATCTGGATTCATTTTTTTTCTGTCTTGTGTGGTAGTTATTTCCGTTTTCGTTTTGAAAAGGTAAAAGTGAATAATTTGACCGGATTATTTGACTCATTCATTATGGATTACGTTGTATAGATACGTCGACTATTTTATTGCGTACCTTTTAGGACAGTAATGTGAATCATTTGATGGATTTGTGAAGATATTTACTATGGATTATTATTGTTTTGTTTACCGAATAAAGCGATGTGCGCCGTATAATCGGGTTTATATTTGGAAAACGTTCTTTTTATTATATAATCCTGAAGTTCTATACAACCACCTCCCCACCCCCTCCCCACTCCCCACCCCAAACACCAATTAGGTATTTCTTGATTTTGCGTTGACTTTGGTTGTTTAGGAGCTATTTTATCTTGATATTGCCTCCCCCCCCCCCCCCCCCCATAGTTTATGTTGTATTTAGTACTTCATTGATCAAGACTTTCGTCGAAATGTTCGGTTGTATTTATGCTCGTCTTTTCCACCCCCTAACTCCCTTTGTGTTATCTCAGCACATATTATTTTGTATTTAGCATTTATTGGAAGTGTGAACAACGTTTTTAATCTCATCTGGATTCCTTTGCACCTTGCGCTGTATAGATGACATGGAAACTATTTAGGGATGTTTTCTTCGAACTTCGAGTGCATCATCTGCCTTAGATGCGAACGACCAACAGTCTGCATACGAATAAGCCAGATCTTTAAAATGGATGTGCACGCCGCAAAACTCGCTCTAGAAAAAGATTTCAGCCCAGAATTGGACGATCAAGCAGAATTTTCCGCCAGAGTTTACGACCGGCGAATGTGCAGACAAAGAAAGTATCTCAGCTGTTAGACTAGATTCTGTTGTCCTATAGTATCACCAATTTAACTCTTTCTGACCCACACAGGGCATATTTAGAAGGAAAACTGCTAGGGTTAGAAATAGTAACAGAAGTTTCTGACTAGAACTAAAAGTAGTTTCTGAGAACTAAGACAGCCCACTGCTGTGTATCAGATGTCTACTGTATGTCTTGGATCGACTACCCGGATGATAATGAATGTAGGTTAATGACAGGCGTAGTCTTTATTTTTTTTATTATTCACTGGTTTGGTTTTTCAAGGGCTCTTAGTTATCAACAGCCGGTAGCTTTCTTACGTGCAGAACTTTATCCCTATTGTAGTCTTTTCAAACTTCTCTTTATCATAAGCTAGATGACCTGCCTCCGTTTCTTTGATGTGTAAATATCTATCTTATCTTGAAACCATCTACGTTCTAGTCTTCCCCTTCTCAATTTTTTTTGCAGACCACATAACAAGTTGGCAGTCGTTAAACTTACTCACGTTGACGTGTAGGTTACTTCGCAACGCTCTAAAGAGCTTGTCCCCTCTAAGCTGTTACCTAAAGATTTACAATACCAGATGGTGTAGGATGTCGATGTTTTTTCTTCTCTTGGGCCATAATTAGGGCTGTACCGAATAGTGATTTTCACTTTTCGGCCGAATACGAATAGCGGGACCAACTATTCGACCGAGTACGAATAGTGTATCATCATCATCAGGTGCCTTGCCGACTGGCGTCGGCGAATATGCCTCGCTACAATCTGCGATCTCCTGCGGCGTGTATTAGTTCGTGTGCTGACACACCTCCATGCCAAGCCACAAGACTGTCAATTATCTTCTCTCGTTGTCTTCCCCTATGCCTCCTTCCACAGATCTTTCCAGTGGTCACAACATGTTCCATTTTCCCTCTTCTGATAACATGGCCGAAAAATAATTACTGTCTCCTTCTGATGTCTGTGATTAGTTGTCTTCGGGCTCCCGCAACTTTCAAAACCTCTTGGTTGCTTTTTTTTTTTTTAAGCTGTCCAGTGTATTTTAAGAATTCTTCTTTAAAACCACATCTCTGAGGCCTCAAGAAATTGTTTGGCCTGCCTACCGATTGTCCAGGACTCACAACGCATTGCCTTTAAATATAAGTGCTTACTTGACGAGGCTAACAGTGACTATTGTACAGACCACATTTTACACTTTAAAATTTCAGCCAAAATGTAATCACAACCTTACTTATTCGCTGCACCTTCACGAATACAGACGGAGGATCAGTCACACCTCTGAGATAAATACAAAGACAATTTTTAGCACGCTGCGGTTGGCATTTTCTGCGGTATGATACACTTAATTTAAGTGTGAAACAAGGAAAACAACTCTTTTTGACTGTGGCGAGCAAAAACAATTTAAATTGTAACTTTTAAGTATCTTCTTGCCCTCTTTAATAATGTCACAATTTATAGCCGACTTTTCTTGATTTTCGCCTCGGTACCCCTGGCATACACACCCAGTTTGAGAACCTCTGCTGTAATGCCTCGGTCGAGTCAGCAGACAAAGACTTTACAAGCTTCTGTACCAAGCATTCGGGTCGCAGTTTCCCCCGCTACGACACACTTAGACAACAGCAACTATTGTGTTAATGAGAGAGTTATTTCAGTCCATCGCAGTGTATGCAAAACGGGTGTAAGGTAACCACTATTCGTATTCGGCCTGACCGCAAGTATTCGGCCGTATACCGAATTATTAGGTCCACTATTCGGCCCCGAAGCGAATACGAAGCGAATATTCGGTACAGCCCTAGCCATAATATCTAAGAACTTGACCCATTACATACAGTGCCATTTCAACTGTAAAAAGGAAGTACTAACGTTGACATGTTTTGGTGATATCGGATAGAAAATTCATTTGATAGTATATGCTGCATTTCTTCGCATCTTTAGTTATTCATTGTATGAATTTGACATGAGTCATTTCATCTGATGCCACGCCATATCTAATTAAGGAAAACAGAAACACACGAATGCATTCAGATATATTTTTATAAACACATTCGTATATATTTTTAAACACATTCGTATATAGTACATACCTACACCCCCCCCCCTCCCCCTCCCATACACTCCCATATTGAAAAAATAAAACATGTAAACATAGGGTGAATGCACTTTACCGTGGTGTATTTTGCTTCCTATATAAACGTTAAGTGTAACAGACTGTGCAGATACGTTCTACAGACTCCATTCAGATGCAGTAGTCAGTCCTGAACGAAGAGTAAAAATTAAGCTTGAAGATCAGACTCCGTGCACCAGTCGGTTATGAAACCGGTTTAACCAGAACCCAAGCCCGGCCGTCGCCAGGGAAACAGCAAACAAAGGGAAGCTATCAGCGATGGTACCACAGAATTGGTAGTAACAAAGTACTGAGCGAAATGGCAGTGACACAGGACAGTCACCAGGTAATAATTTATAGAGCGTGATAACGGCTGACAGGAGAACATTCCTCGTATTTGGAACAAAATTAATATGGACGAGGGAATCATATTTGAACGTGTGTTATTGATGGCATAGATAATTCCGACTTATAGCAGGTTCGATTCAGTTGGGTTGACATCAGGCCGCGTTGCGTTGATATCGACAACGATATCTTCTTCTTCTTCGCGTTTATCGTCTGTAAACTCCGGTGGAAAGTTCTGATTGTTCGTCCACTTCAGGACTGCAGCCCTAATCCAGCACCTGAATGTTGCGTGTACATCCGTTTGATAGATCTAATTTGTATGCAGACTGTTGGTTCCTTGCCTCTCAGGCAGATGCACTGCGACTTCGAAGGAAGCTCCTAATTAGTCCACTCTTACGACATGCTTTTTGGGTTTGCA